AAGATTTTGTTCAGGAGTGTATTGCTGCTAGCATCACTAAAAACTTTTTAGTGGCTTCACTGTATAGATTCAGGATAAAAAAAACAATCAGTTGCTATGCATTATAACCAGACTGTAATTAATCTGCTGACTAGGGCTGCACCTAACGATTATTTTCATTCATGGATTTAATCGCTCGATAATGTTTCTCGACTAATTAATTTGCTGGATTAGCGATTATTACAAAAAATGGATTTGAATAGGGACTGAATAGTTGACAACTAATCGTTTAATCAGCTCTACTTATGACAATACTTAATGGCAGTAAAATCTGCTTAAACGTAGCTTACAACATATGTTCATTTCTTTCTTGCTAAAATAATTGGCCATGACTTGGAGGCATGATTCAGTAGTAGTAGTCTTATTGATACAATAAGAACCAGAATCAATAAGAATCAGAATCAATAAAACCTAAAAGATACCCAGCTCTATTAACGAAGATGGTACTTTTTAGCTTACATTTGAAATTAAACGTGTATGAGCATCCACACACACACACCACATTCACACACACACACACACACACACAGACACACACACACTCACACACTATTCCTGCATAGCCATTATCTATTAAATGTTAATTAGTGCAAATAACACACAGGAAAATTGTCTCCTGTCTTTACACCATGCACAGAAAAAATAAACACCTACACACGCTCACACGCAATCAAACTAAATGTCGGGTGAACAGGGGCCAGTGCTGTTATCAGATATAAATGACCCCCTCCACCAGACTAGACTTCTCAGGTTACTGCAAATCAATACGCAGCAAATTACCAACACACACACACTCACACAAAAACACACGCTACACACTCAAATATAAACGTGCGCAAAGACAAAAACGTGATTAACAGAGTCATCGCTTCATCATTAATCAATTACTGAGAGAGAAAAAAATAAGTAGAGGCAACAAAACTCCCCTCATGCTTTTCTCCTTTCTCCTCCCCTCTTATTTCCCCTATTTACACCCCTTGTTACTACTGTCCTCTGTTTCCTCTACTTTCCTGTCATTAGAGGTAAAATATTCTTTTCATGGATGGAGAGAAAAATTAAAAGATAGAATGAGAACAACTAGACATACTGAAGGGAAGCTGGACAGATGAATAAAATAATTGAAGCTGGTTGGTAGATGGATTAATACAGTGGGTAATCGGTTTAGTGATGGATGGATGGATGGATGGATATCGATAAAACAAAGAATGGACAGAAGAATGTATGAAAGATTGAAGGTAAAAATGATCAGATGGAAAGGTTGCAGAATATAGTTGAAGGATGTAAGGATAGAATGAAGGAATAAAGGGTGGCTGGAGAATGAAAGGAGGGTGGATTAATAGATGATAGATGGATATACAGTATTAGATTGGGAGCGGATGGATGGATGGATGGATGAATGAATGGATGGATGGATGGATGGTTGAAAGGAAGGATGTAGATGATTGGTGTGCAGGAGGTTGGATGGATACATGGAAAAATGGTTGGACAGACGGAAGGAAGGAAGGATAGATAGAAATGATCATGAGAAGTAGTATGGTCGGATGAAAGATGATTAATGGACGGATAGACATACTGAATTGTTGAAGAGATGGATGCATGAATGGATACAACTGGCAGGCAGGAGAAAGCTCAACATTTGTGTCAATCAGAAACTGATCAGCTGCTTGAGCTTTTCCTTCCTGTTGCGATCAAACGACAGAGCAGCTGAGATGAGCGGTGTGTTTAATGTACCTGGCATTTTCCAGTACGGACATCGTAAAGGGCCACTGAACCCTGGCGAGCTCCAACGGCGATGCGGTGACTACGGTCACAGTATCCAACCATGTAGAACCTGAACAAGAGACAACAGATACATGTTAACACATTTACATTGACCTGGTTATCAATCACCACTGGTTCCCATAAAACTAAACCACAAGAACCCTACTACAGTATGTCTGTTAAGTAGTAGTATTAGAAGATAGGATTGCATAGAAATTAACCAACACTCTTACAATGTACATTCACATACAAAAAAAATTGTAAATTCCTGAAACGAAAAGACACACTTGACACAAACATAATTCTATTTAAAATCTACTCTGAAAGAAAAGATTGGGATTTGTAGACAAACCAACAAGACAAAAAACACAACCAAGAAAAGACAACTAGTAGTGGCTGCCTAAGTTGATGGTCTGATGATCAAGTTTTTGCACATAAGTCCCCAGGTGCTGTGTTCCTTGTTTCACCTGTGGCGCAGTTCATTTCCAGCAGTAACTGCAGAAATTCCTAGAAGGTGGCTTGTCAGATGGTCCAAGTGCTTGTCGGATGGTCCAACAATGTTTGAACCTCCTCACACCTTTAATAATAATAATAATAATAATAATAATAATAACTTTCTAACATTTTCACCTACTTCCCCAGAAATTGCCAGGTGTGGGGAGGTGAGAAGGTGGAGTTTGGGTGTCTCTCTCAAGGTCTTTCTTCTTCATTCTTTGCAACAATGAACAAAAATTATGAATGTCTTCCAGGAGAGATGGGCTGAGCGTGTGCACTGTTCTACCCACATTTAAACAATTACAGCATCTTGTCCCTTTCTATGATGGCAGTATTAAGTACTGTATGAACAAGTTATTTTAGAGGATAATCAGATCACCACAACAGGTGAATTTTTTCATGAACATGATAAACATGAAGTGTCCAAAATTAGTAATTTCACAAAACCATCTCACATATTTTAGGGTGGAAGAAGTGTCCTGACAGCAGAAAGGGGGAATTCATAAAGAATTAAGTATTTATGTGTAGGCAAAGATGCTGAGCACCTGGGACATTACCCTTTTGCTGACATGTCTTTCAAATAGCCAGTAGGGGATGCTAAAGCAGATAGGCTTCACTTGTAATTCTAAATTTGTCAATCTTGGAATTAGGTTCAGTCAAACACTGGCATGTCACGTTGGGTATGTTCAAGTGATCACAGTGGGCAGCAAAGAGCTAAAAGCAGGAGGCCTTAATTCACATACCCAAATGTCACTTTCCACATATTCCTGCCTGTTGGCTTTTTGACTGCAGTTCCCTGTCTAGTCAAACTAGTGGCGGGAGTGGGTGCTTGCCATAGAGTGTGATCACTTTAGTGGGAAAAGAAAAGGGGTGCCAAAGCGGTAGCTTCCATTATGGCTCTGGCTTGAGGGCAAAAGCCTAGCTTGGAATTCAGTCAAAGAATGGAATGACAGGTTTCTTGACAATGTCACACTGGACTCATCAGCTCTAATATTACACATTGTTTTAGCATCCATAAACAATTTGACAATTCCAGCCATGCGTTCATTGCATCACATAAGTAAAGCATGGTATTATTTGATCGGTCAAATCTTTCAGAATAATTTTTTCCTCTCTGCTCACTTTTTTTTGGAAACTCAACCCAGTCCACAGCTGACATCTAGACATCTAAGACAACAGTATTTAGAAGCCTACATTACATAATATAAACATAACACCTCATTTAATGTGTTGTTGTCTTTTTTTCACATTTTTGTCAACACGCACCCACACCAACTGTTATGTTGAAGCCAAGAAGAGACAGAAAAGACACCAATACACATTAATGTATTCACTCTCACTCTCTCTCTCTCACACACACTGATTGAGATGGTTCAGCCACATGCCTTAAGGCTGATATCTGTACCTGTGAGTTGACCCCTGACCTTTGACATCAGCTCCCAGAGGTTAACTTTCCATAATTCCTCCCCAGTTCACCCACCACTGCCCTTATAAGGAAATGTTAGGGGCTTGTTAACACACACACACACACACACACACACACACATACACTTACTTGCAAATAGCAGGGAAGCACTCCTGCAATCCTTTCTTTTTTACTAGAGAACCTTCAATACAGTACATGATGATATCCATCACCTGAAAAAGAGAAGAAGAGCAATAGTAGGAGGTTATGATATCTACAATAATGGTTGTTTTGTTTCTTTTATCGTGAATTATGAACATTTTACATTTTTTAGAAATGTGGGTAGCAGTCGTATAAAGGCAAACACAAGTCTTTACTTGGATTGTGTGGACTGCCATCTTCAGGAGTGGTAATATATCATCTGATATGTAATAACGTTTACCTCGACCAGCAGATCCACGACGTCTCCAGGCATCTTCTCTATCAGGATGTCGATCACTCGCAGTATCTCATTCTTGGCTCTGGCCAGAGTGGTGGTGTGAACGTTCTGCTGCGACTGAGAGTTTGCCTGAGCTGCGTTGTACCGATGAACCTGGAAAACAAAAATGTGTTATTGCTGGAGGAAGAATATATGAAAGACATGACATGATTAACATAATGCATTTGAGACCATTAAATTAGACATTTAGTTCCTATGTTGGGTGGGTGTGTGTGGTTTTCAGAGTATATACATGCATGCTACTACTAGCAATCAAACTAAATGTCGGGTGTTGTTTGAACTTTTTCAATGTTACCGCCAATATGATACCTTAGTTTTTTTTTCTCCTCAATGAAACATGGTGACTATAGCCTGATAAAAACAGCAAAATTTCTGACTTTGCAAAATTAAAACAATGCATTACTTAGTTTTTTAATTATTGCTCACTGCATTAAAGATATTGCACATTATATATAGAACATGTTGAGGCCGCTGATATTTTGTTTGCATGTCTGTAAAATGTTCAGTCTCACCTCTCTTGCAATGGTGGTGATGAAGGCTGGTGGGCGGGCAGTAGCGATAAGAGAGAGGGCGTGGCGGGCTGAGCGAGCTGAGTCTGCTGGCGGGTTGAGGGGCAATCCCATGGTTATACTGAAGAGAGAGAGAGTGGTGGAGGGTTTATTCAAGTGCCAAAACAACAGAATACAAACTACAATCATATAAAACCAGGGAAGGCAGTGCAATAAGAGTTAAAATAAGTCACATTTAATGTTAGAAATACTGAGATCATGAGTCCCATTGGTTCCTACTGAAGATATAAATGTTTACAGCTCACACAAGTACAGTCATTTTCTAAAATGACTCTACTGCACTGTAGTTTATAGCAAACAGGGAGTAAAGAGCAGAAGCAGGACAAACTCATTGTGAAGTTGTCTAAGAAGTCCCCAGTCAAGTCCAAGTCCCAAACTTTGTGTTTCAAGTCCCCAACAAGTCATTATGCACCCTTCACAAAAAGTAATGCTATTTAAAAATGTTAAACAGTAACAATACATATACTGAAATACAGTAATGATGACTTAAATGACCAGCGTGTAGGATTTTGTGGCATATAAGACTGAAACCCCCTTGCTTCACTCTGCTGTTCCAAGCGCGTAGGAGAAACTACAGTCGGTGTGAAACTCACAAAAAATGCAAAAGGCCTTATCTAGAGCCAGTGTTTGGTTTGTCCGTTCTGTACAAACATGGTGGTTCAACATGGCGTCCTCCATGGAAGGGGACCAGCAGCGTCTGTAGATAACAATGGCTCATTCTAAGGTAACGGAAACAACGATTCCTATATTCTGGTTATAAAACATACCTATGAATATTATATTCCATTTCTTACAATAGATTCTCCTCAATGTTACACACTGGACCTTAAGAGAACAGTCGTTCATTACTTCTAAATAAACCTTTTAACATTTAAATGCATGTTTCACTCCTCCTCGCGCAACCTTATTGGTTGCTGTTGGTTGATTCACTGAGCACTTTTTCTAATCTAATTTACAGTGTGTAAACAGTGTTTTTTGGGAGGATATCAAGATATTCCAACTTAAACGACTAAAAACCAAGAGAAGCAACGAACGACTGTTTTAAAGTCCAGTTGGAGTCCACACCTCTGGAGAGGACTATTTTTAGTGGGGGTTAATCCACATTTGGTGCTCTAGTGAGTATTTGGGGCAGCAGGATGGTGTGTGTGGGATTGGTCCAAATAAAGTACAACGCGCTGTGTTCATGATAATGAAGAACATGAGGAGCTCAGGAAATGCAAGATAAGATAGGTGTACACACACAGCACACACACACACACACACACACACACACACACACAGTACTTGTTAGTACATACATTCATTATACATTCATTATTAGTTTGGGCCTAACCATTTGATTTGTTGACAATAAGAAAAATACAGAACTTCACCAGACCTATCCTTTAAAGAGACATTTTATAATGATCTAAAGAGGCAGAGAGACAGAAGAAAATGAGATAAAACAGAGGAGAGCGGCGGAGAGATCGAGCCTTACTAATATATGGAGTGAAGAGATTAGCGGACAGCTTATAATGTCAAGGCCGAGTCAATGGGAGCCATTCACCAGACGATGGCATAATGGACTCCCACAATGCAACAGGAATTAGACACACACACCCTAACAGCTGGCCACACACCCCTGTGAGTGTCTGTGTGTGTGTGTGTTAGAGAAAGAGAAAGAGAGAGGGGGCGAGAGAGGCCACCTTGTTAAGAAATGACTCAGGGGAGAGAAAGAGAGAGGGAGGGAGTAATGGGTGGACGGACGGCCGAGCTGCACGATTCATCTCCTCTGATTACAGATCACAGCTACAAAACCTGTAATTAATACTGGTAATATATTGGCAATATATCAGCTATATTGAAATGTTTAATTTCATTTAGAGGGGTGGCTGTAATTGGAAACAGTCAAGATGTTGATATAAGGCAGCACGAGCGTAGGGAGCTAATTGTACCGAGAACCACGGAGGTTAATAGCCAACGTTTAGAACATGTAATGAAATAATCTGGATTATTATTACTGTTGTAGGAGAAGACACACACA